CCGCGAGCATTTGGTCGGCGCGCTCTGTGCTTGTCGCGCCGTTTTGATTAACTCATACAAAACGCAACACGTTAGTTTCTACCAACGTACCCTGTTCTGTACTTCGCGTGGAAAGCCGAAGGCCTTTTAACCATTTTCGGCGATATATGTTCGGCGGCCGAATATTCGGTGCCATCCCTAGTATGTTTAAAACCCAATAGCCTGTTGTGGCCCATGGACAATGATTGATTTTTAATTTCAGGAAGCGTTGTTGGGAATACAATAATATTCATCGCCATTATTAGCACCACAAAAGGCCTCTCCAAGAATTTTACCATACGTCGGTTGGTTAGGGTCAACAAAGCATGTGGACTTTGCATCCCTTTCCTAGCAATCTATAAATGTTGTGTTGTTCCGTGTAGTGACCCACATGTTTCCTTAAATAATATCATTATATTGTATAATTATGTATTTACTGTGAAGAAAAAAGATGAATCCAACATAAGCACAAAATGACTGGCTGTAGAAAAGTCTTGTAATTTGCATTTACGGTATTTGCAATAATTTGACCAACTAAAAATAGTATTTAGTTTCCTCCATATCCACAAGTGGTTCAACCCTGAACTAAAAAACAGATATTGTATTCTAAACTGCTTTGTAACTAAACCCCTTTCCCTTCCCCCATACTACCACTGTGGGTCGCTCTAACATGTCGTTTTGGTCGATACAGAAACCCAAATAGGTTCCCTTACTTTAAATTAGACCACTTTTGGACAATGGGCAGAGAGGAAAATGTTAACATGCTGCCCATTTTGATGTACAGGGAAGAGTTAAAAACAATTGCATTGTTAACATTGATCCCAGAAAAATTCCCATTTCGGGAGAGGACACCCACAAAATATCCTTCTAAAGATGGTCCCCCGAAGTTCAATTGGGAAAACTTTAATGCCCAGGTGTGTGCCCACATAAAGCCATATTAAATTGCCTTGTCAAATTTTTGAAAGTTGACTTTTTCATGGCACATGGAAGGGGGAAAATGGCCCATTTTGGGAAACAGGGAAACTCGTTATTGGAAGTAATATTAAAAAGCATCCATCTTAATCTTGTGTTGGTAAGAGTCTGTGGCATGTTTTTCAAAACCTACGCCACGGAGAACCCAATAAAAAAGGAAGCAAACCTTGGATATATTACCAGAATCAATATGGGCATATTTAAAGTGCTCATATCAAATGTTGTGTATTGTTTTATATTAACAGCAGGAGGGCTGGGGCAGCACTAAAAGGTTATATCTATGCCCACATTATACGAATCATTTCTACTCGCATGAACATCATGCATGTTAAGCTTATTCAATGGGAACACCATAAATTGGTAAGTAAGGGAGAGGAAAAGCACGGTTATCAGGACTTACTTTTTTCAAATACTGAGGTGGGTTGCCAATACAGACTGCAATAACAACCAGCTTTTTAAAAGCAGCTTTCTTTCGTTTTACAGGGGACCATTTTGGCAATAATGGGTATGAAGGATGTGTGAAAATTGGTTTTGGAATAAGTGTTCGATTTAACTTGAAATAAAAATCACAAGAGACTGTTTGGTGGCAAAAAAAGGGCAAACGTGTGAGAAAAAGGAGGTTGAGAATGCTTCTGGCAACACAAGGACATTCTGGAGTGTTAGCAGGGATCCGACCAGTTGATTTTCACTCACGCCACATGGTGGAAGATCTGGATAGATTTCAGGCAATTTAGCTGTCTCGGGCCATATGCCTTCTGTGAAAATTAAATTCGAACCATGGTTTGTTTTGTGTGGCAAGCCCCAAAATCATGTTATTTAATAAAGTGTATTTCGTATTGCCCTTTTTACAAATAAACATTTCTTCTTGTTTGAATAAAATTTGAGCTGTTTAAGCCTTCCTTGGGTCTCCACTCCCAGTAACGTTATTTTAACCCCTCATCCCTCTTTTGATCATGTTCTCTCCGCATAAAGGAGCCTGGTGGCTTCTCTGGACCGCCCGCTGGCAGCGGACTACATGATCAGAACTTCTTTAAATAAACATGGAAATCCCCTTGCGTATTATTTCTCCCTCTGTTCTCCCATTCTATAATGACAAATCTTAGACGTCGAGGAGTTATACACATTATTATTTCCTTTTTTTTCTCCCCCTGCCCATTGAACGTTTCTAGGTTGTTTGATGAGTGATCCGTCTGTGGTCTTTTTTCCATTGTACCTCTAAAATTAAAAGCACCATAAATTAGGGTCCGGCTTAGTCTCTCATTTCCGGGCACAGTATATTCCTCCCCTACCCTCTTCAAGGGAATGGTTACGTTTTTCTAGTTCGAAAATGTACCTTCCCGCCGGCTAACCTCTGTTTGGTTTTTCTCTCTAATTTCTTGCAAACTCTAATCTAAACGCCCTTTTGGCCCCTTTTTGAGCTTCGGCTAACTTTTCTTCTTGTTTTTCCTTGGGCCCAGCAGGTTTACTCACCAGACTGCTGGATGGAGGTTCAATCTGCACACAGGTTGTTTTTCAGGGCTGGCCTTTATGGTGGCTTGGACCAGGGCAAAAATTGCCACATTACCAATTTCATTAGGGGGGAAAAGCGTGCTTGCATTTAAAAAAAAAAAAACCAAGTGCAGATAAAAAAAAATTAAAATTACCAACCAACACCCAAATTCGGCTGAGCAATTAGGTTCGATATTTTAATCCACAATTCACGAATTTTGGCCTTGCACAATTTACGGAAAAAAAACATAATCTCAAAGTTATTTTTGCTTTGCCTAGGGTGTGACCAGTGCACTGTACCATTATTTATCTAAATTAGTTGTATGGTATTCATATGTTTCAGGTAGGCATGGTGGGAATTGCACTCCCAAAATATTTGTTAATCTTGGTTTATTGATCATTTATTATTTTGATATATTTATTAAATGTAGATGTTTATTTATTTTTTTTTTAGTTTTTTCATTTTGGAATTTACGGTTCAGGGTTAATCCAACAGTTAAAAAGGGATACTGTTCAAATTATGTATTTGTATTTGTTTTAAAAGTTTAAATTAATGGATGTTTTCAAAGTGGAATGGGAATTATCGTCCATATCAAAATTATTTTTGACAAAACAATCCGTGATTATGATACTACAAATTACGAAATATTCTCTACCAACTTTTCAACATGTAGTGCAGCTTAGGGATTAACATCTTGGCCGGGCCAGCAATCACTTTGTCCACCCTGGAAACCCTAAAATATAAAGTTGTTATTGGCTTATTTTTACCAATGTGATTAAATGATTCTTCATATTTTATTTGCCGGTTTTTGCTTTGACGTTGCTAAACCTAGTCATTTCAAATACACTGATACACCTTACACAAATGAACAGGACTTAATTCTGCGGCTCCAGTTTCTAAAAATATTTCTGAAATGAGCCCTTCTTTTCAATGAATCCCAGCTTCAAACAATTGTCCTCCAAATAAAAGCAGAAAAGCAAAAACATGTAATCTCCAAAACAAACCAAAATTTAACAGTGTTGAATATAAGCACTCCAAGGAGGCCTGTGTTATTGGTGAAGGGATGATTTTTAGCACCCAAGAAAACAGTTATAATGTCAAAACCTAGGCATGTCACCAAGTTCCCGACTCCACCAATTTTTCAAAAGGAACACTTCTAAAATAAGTTCAACTGGATGTACTTTTTGATGCTTTATTTAGCACTTAGAAACATGTAAAATAAGGTGTTTTGATTTAGGCATGTGGCACATGACGTTATTTTCTCTTCTCCCCAAAGTACCAATCTCAAACTATCATAGCTGTTCTATCAGATCTGCTTCACACTCTGTTCAGCTTAGAGGGAAGTTGATTGAGTCTTCTTTTTCAGTGAGAGAGTTTTATTTTTTAAACAAGGGTGTGGGTGTAGCTTAATGGTGTGATCGTACACTGAGAACTGTTTAACATGGATCTATGAAGCAGTATCCATCCTTTCACGTTGAAAGTCTAAGTGGGAAGACAGTGAATGTGCTCTTCCTGCTGTGCCTTAAACCGTCGGATTAATCTTCCTAAATTACCTCAATACAATCCAGACAAGAATACTTCCAAATCATGAGAGAGACCAGTTCAGATTCCGATGCCTCGTGCGATCAATAATCTTAATTTAACACTGGCATCTTTGAAACCCGTCTCTCCTTCATGGTTTTTTTAGAAAGGATAAGCAGAGTCGACATACTGTGGTAAGCATGGCAAGCCACCATGACATGAAGACATCGTTCCATTATCCTTACAACAGCTTCTGTGCGTTTTAAATATCCTCTCCTTAACACTCCATCGCAGTTTGATCGTGTAAATACGTCTACGTGGTCCTCGGTTTTCTGCATGGCACGCTGTAGTTGTGTCAGCTGCTGCACTTGCAAGTGGGACAGCTGTCATCCAGGTGCTCCACCACCTAATGGTGTCAAAGAGAGGTTTTTCTCAAGTCTGAATTGCAAATAAGCAATCAGTACATCTTA